AAGATTTATCTTTTGAAAATAATATTATAGGTACCTACAGGGCGGCCGAAATTTCACTTATAACAATACTACGCAACCATTATTTTCCAGTCTGCGGAAAAATCTCTTGACAACTTGACTGAAATTATAACTTTGAGGACGTATCACAATTCGTGTGTACCTACGATCGGTGGTTGGCATAGAACAGACTGACTTCCTAGTTCCTACAGTATTTTATTATAAAATATTTTGAACATTGTTTTAAAAATAATTGTAAGATCTAGTATACCTACTACGATGCTATTTGGTCATTATATTGTTCTTTTGATATTGGGCCTTAGCCTCTTTTGTAATAAATCCAAGTAAATTAAATAAAATAATTTGCAAATTTTTATGATTTTGACGTGACCATCAAGCATGTTGCTTACAAATATTTAATATTTTTAAATTACTATAAGATTAACTTATGAGAAAAATGTATTATTATTAAATTTTTTTTGATTTTTAATAAAAAAAATTATCAACATAAATCCAAAATTAAAATTAAAACCTAAATCTATAATTTAATCAACCCCCCTCCCGAAAAATAAATAAAGTACCAACTAGATCCAATTTTCTACCACTAACCACCCTCTAAGTATTTGAAGATTAAATAATTTATTCTACTATAAACTGTAATATCATTGTAATACCACATTCGCGTCACTCAAAATCTAAAAACAATTACGTTAAAATATTCAGTTGACCGTTATCATAACACTTAAAATCTAAATATAATTTCCTTTAATTTTGTGTTTATTATAGACGGAATGTAGTAAGTGATAGTTATACTAATCAATATTTATTTATCGAAACTCTGCATTGTATTAATATTCATGACGTGTACCTATAATTCACAAGGTTTAATTTTCAATTCTTTGATAGTTCACAAAAACATGTAGATAAAAAAATATATCAACATGTAGGTACCTAGTTTATCTTCACAAATCAACGTTATAGCCTAATTCAAGTCAATATATTCTTTATTTTGTTTTTTTTTTAAATCCAATGTTTTTTATTTGTCTTACAATTTATTAAAATAACAATTCCCCTAACAATTGGTAACACTTATTTTTATTAAATAACTAATAATAAATTACTAAAAAAATAATTGAGTACTTAACTTTTATAATATTAATAATCAAATTAACATCGTAATTCACAAGAAAATACATCAAACTTATTATGGTGTTTATTTATAACATTTTTTAATTTAATTTATTTACCAAAATTATTCCACATTTTATATTTTATTTCACGAGTTCAAATTCAAAACTAGCTAAAATGTTATTTAAATTTAAGAACTATTATAATTGTTAACGCAAGTTTTAATACATTTTATAGTCAATATTATTGTTATCAAACGTTTTTATAATTTTTAATAAGGAGTGGTTTGTTATTATAACGTAATTATTATCATTCTGATGGAACGTTTTACATTAACACTACACCAAACAAGAATAAAGAAGAACTCAAATATCGTAAATAATTATTATTTTCTAAATTAAAAATAAATTAAAAATATTGTTTAATTAAAATGTCAACGCGTTTTATCAAAATTGCCCGAATAATTAAAAAACAAAAATTAGTATAACATGAAGTTATATAATGTTATAATATAGTATATATTATATGTAATTTTCAATATGTTTCATATATTCTTACAATGCTTTTAAAATTATTTTAAATTTAATTATTGGAAATCTATATGCCTATTATAATTTATTCATATACATGAACTCAGATTTCTAAAAAATAGAAAGTATTGAATATTTATAAAATAATTTATATGTATATTTAATAGAACTAAAAAAAAAATAAAGCTAATATTAATAAAGTGTCTAGTGAAGTAGGTATAGTTGTATAATTGAACTATTTAGCAGTATATTGTGTTCATTGGTGTGTAATATAATACCTAAACGAAAATACTATTTAAGTATATAACAGCTTTTACAAAATTTTAAATGTATAATTAAAACACTTAACCACATTAATTTTTATTTAGGTATAATTGCTGGTAAAATATTATGAATTTGTTAAAAATCTAAAAAATCGTTATTATACTTGAGAGGGTAATCTTCTAGACATTGACCACCTATAAAAACATTTGATCACCATCCACAAACAAAAATGATTGCTTGAGTTTAAATTTATATCAAGGCATCAAGTAGATTAAAATAATACCTGACACTATCGGACCTTGTATTCGGTGACCAATCCTTTGAATAAGTAAATCTTCTGCTACCACCGGTTCTCAGATTCCTTGCGTCATTCCATCGAATGAAATGATGTTTGAATGTGTTCTTAACTTCAGAATTGACAAAGCAGTAAAATATTGCCACCATAAAGCCCTATACAAATAAAAATGAATCACAAAAATGTAAATTTAAACTGGCGTTATAACATAATAAAACACTGCATTGCATGTATCAAGGATAAAATGAAAATACATTTGTTTTTTCTTTTGTTAATATTAATTAAAAAATATTCTCTCTTAATATTCATTATTTTATAATTTTAAATAATAATATCGTATTACCATCGTAAATCAAGATTCAACTTAAGCATTATTTATTAAATATTATATAACGTGCATTATACATTATTTTATACTATGCTCTTACTCAGATTATATTATATTAAGCGAATCGTGTGAATATCAGTCAGGTGTAATCCCAGACACCTGAGATACCTGACTGATTTTTTTCTAAAAAATAATAATAATATCGTTATCAACATTTCTAAGCTTACCTGCATAGACAAAAGTGTAGCTCTACCATAAGAATAATAGTTAGCGTAAGTACCGGATTCCGTAGGCCCGACCATGGTTAGTATGTAGGTAACGCCTAACAATGGTATGAGAACTAACAAAGCTTTACTGGCTTTGCGGTATTGTTGGGTTTCAGCCGAATTCGCTGACCTTAGCTTTGTTATTAGTACCTAAAAATGTAATATAATGTTAACTAAAAAAAAAATTCAATTCAATCAAATTTTTATTTTATTATTATTATTATTAATGATCAAATTGTTAGAAACACATTTTATTTAAAATATAATACTTTATTTACCGCCAAAATTTGGCATACCTACGTAACTATACACTTGCTTGGTTGTGTTAACAACTGAGTATTTTATTATGATAAAAATACATATTTTATTTAACTCATTATAAAAATATGATTCTCGGTAAAAATAATAGTACAATAATATTCAATACGTTATTCCAAATAATAAATTAGTAAATCATATTACCATCATTACAACCAAAATTACGAGAAAATGTATTGATTAATACATAATATAATAGCTGACTATTATACCATAGTGATGTAATCATTTAAATCTTTAAATTATAATAATTAGCTTATATTGATTGCTCTTTTTTTTCTGAAATCTCTTTTTTCGTGGCCCGACCTTATTACATTTTTGGCCTCCTACCTAAAAAAAATCCTGGTACCGTCACTAAAAATTATATTATACAAGCTGATCCCGTGCACTTCATTGCCCATCAAAAATGTCAATTCTATATGAATAATATGTTTTTATTTATAATATAACGGTTACCATAACAACAATTTTAAACCAATCCTTTCCCATTTTAAATTAGCTTAGCTTCTACCCAGAAGTCTAACCTATCTCAGTACTAAATGATTCCATGCACTTGCCCAGAAACCAATAATTATTATTATAATAACTTCAAAACCCATTACAACCATTCATAAACCAAAATTTCTATAGGATATCTCAAAATACCTGTTTGAGCACCTCCCGGGGTTGGTCCTTCCTCTTTTTAAATGAGCATATCTTCTGCACAGAGGTCTAATCTATCTATATATATAAAAATATCTGATCCCGTGCACTTGATTGCAGTAACGGATCCAGAAGTCACCCAAAGAGGGGAGCGAATTTTCAAAAATTAAATTGTCTTTTTGTTTAGCCAAATATTATAATAGAAAATGACGTTAAAAAAGCAACCCAAGGGTGTCGGGCGAACGCCCTTTTGCCCCCCTCGTATCCACCCATTAAAATTGCCAACTCTATACGAATAATATGTTTTACATATCACCGTGGCAACCATTTATGTACAAAACATTCCATCGGAAATTTCAAAATAATATATAGATGGTTGCCATGGTAATATGGACACACATACACATACATTCATGTTTATATATATAGATTGAACTTTTAACCAATTTAAATTATGGTATGTACTTTGTAAGCATATTATTTTTAGAATCGAAGACTCAAGTAAGCCGACTATAATTTGTAAAAAGTATTATTTTTTTATAATTTAAGAATTTCTAGTGAAATTCTAGGTCACCAGAGAAAAATACTTAGGTGACCATAAGTTGTATATAAATTATATTAACTATTCAAGATTACCAAAAAAGTTGGTCTGAGAATCAGTCTAAGAACGTTTAATTATGACCGATGTCATAGTTTCTGGTGTTAATATTTTTGAATAAAATACAGTAGATACTAGGTTTTTTTTCAGGTACGTTACATTCACTTTTTATTTATTTGCCATAGAGGTACGTTACTTCCCAATTACCTCGCAAAATACACTCAAGTTTCACAGAATACACTCACGCACACACAAATTTAAACGAACAATTTTGTGATCGCACACACAAAATACTCAATATGTATAGACTTAACACTCACAAACACATATATTGTGTTGCTTGGAATAAGGTAAATGTTGAATAACTCAATTGTGTAAAATCATACTTTTTTACAAATTATTGTGTAAGTTTATTTGCTTCGTTGACTCTAAAAATATTCTTATGCCCATACGGTAATTTAAATTGTATACTGTATTATTTAGTAAACTATTTTTAATAGTCCAATATACTGCGCTTATATTATATTATAAAGTATAATACATCTATACCAGAAAAATGCACCAATAATCTGAAATTATTTATTTACTTCTTAGTATAAGATTTACAAGTTAAACTAAAATCGTTAAATAAAAAAAAAAATATGTACCTAATTTACTAATAGTTATTTATTTTTTGACATTTCAAATTTAGATTTGTACGTGAAATGGATAACCTTTACTTCGAGGATTATCCCCTGGATCTTCACACCTCTTAACTTAACTTTGATTTTAGAAATTGAGTCTTGTTTATATTTTTATCTTATATATAGTGTATTATATATATAACACACAAATATTTTTTTATACTTTAAAAGTGAAAACAAAAGTCAACTTACCCACATGATTTTTGATAGAAAAACCAAGTTTACTATCAACACTATTATCGCTGGCCCTTGGTAGATCCAATCATGCACGGGATGTGGTGTCATCCAACTACAAGAATCGCTTCTTTCCTATAATAGAAACATGAATATGCGCTATAAGTTTTTTGCTGGTGCAATTTAATTTTTCGACTAGGCAACAACAAATAATTCAATTTAAGAATGGATTAGTATAAAAACTATAAGCCATAATAAATATTAAAAAGAGCCTATTGATATTATTTTTATAAAAATTTTCAAAATGTTAAGTTATTGTTAAAAAAAAATAATAATATTAAGCAGAATTATTAAATTTGTATATTGAAATAGGTTTATAAATTCTGAATAGCATAAGCATGACATTCAGTTAGCCTGAATTTTACCATTATCATAATCGTACTGTTTATTGTATTAAATAACGCATTTTAATATTACAATTTACAACCATATAATTATTATAAATATTTAACCTACTTAATACATAGTTGTATTTTTTTTTATTATTATCTAATGATTATGATCTTTGATGAATGTTGACGTTTTGATAGCTTGGTATTAGCGTTTATATACATTTTACATTCTGGATGGAGTGAATTTATAATTAATTCATATGTGGACATCGCATTTAGGTAAAAATAACAATTTAAAAAAAATAAATATTATCATTATATTTTATAATAGACACAAAATATAAAATTTTCTATATCCGGCACTAATTATATACAGTAAGTCCCAAAAGTCCCGTATCACTCATTAGGTATAAGTATATCCTTGGAAAATCAATATATTGAAATGTAGTTTTTTACAGTATCTAATATAAGTATGGAAATTCTAATTGATTGGTATGAGATTCAATTTGTTTTTTTTCAAAAAAATTTAAGATTATATTTTTTAAAATGGTCTTTAAAAAAACTATTAGAATTGAGTGAAAATCAACTGAGTTAAAGCAAGTTAAGTTGTTGACTTCGTTTAAATAATATTTAATTATGTTAGAGCAAAACACGAACCTCGTGATTTAATCAACATCAATTGGACCGTGGATGGTGGATTTGTTAGATAATTTGTAAACATTTAATTATTATTGGAGTTTTGCAAAAGTGTATTAATCTTGATGTGGTGTATTCAAGACATAATAGGTACAACTATGATTTATACAAATATTTTATTATGAAAAAATTCAAAATAGTGTGTATACTTTATAGTGTATATAATACATTACCTATAATAATTAGGTAGGTAATGGTAGGTACAGTATTAACGTGTACAGGCATACTGCTTATTGATATAAAAAATAAAATACTTAAGTAGCTATTAAAAAAAAATTAAACAACCATAATTTGTAATTTGTATATTGACTGCTGCGCATTATACTCAAATAATTTGTACAATATAAGTACCCATCAATGAATAGTGATAACCCATATTATATTCTTTACAAGTATACCTACTTATCAAAACAGTTAATACTCAGTTACTTACAGGTAGGTAAGCATTGGGTATATTTGATACTCAGACACAAAAGTAAATTATAAAATACCAACAACCAATTGGGTTCTAACTGTAGATCCTACACACAACAGATGGTACCTATACAGTTCGAAACTGATTGAACCAGATATCTGATAAGATGTTTTAAGAAGTTGGCTCAATAGCTCATGCTTAAGTTTGTATTAGATCACAAGGAAACCATTTAATGTATGATACGTATCGAAACGAGAAATGTAATACTTTTAGCATTTCTAGCAACTCTGTAAACTATATAATACGAAACAGCACGCATTCCAATACACCCCCTTAAATTCCAATTTATCTACGTGAAATAGGACATTTCTGCCATCTTGACAGTAAGGGATTTTGATAAACTTTTGAACATCAAGATATTTTTATTTTACTGAAAAATAAAAAATTAAATATTTGAGATGCATAAAAACTTGTGTAAAATTAATTTTAAATATTTATTTGTTATACATTTAAAAGTACATTGCAATTTGCGATTTCTCACGTCTTATCTTTGCATTATTTTTAAAACACTACATTCTAAAAGTTTGTAATTTATATAACTTAAGTACATAAAGGTATAGCAAATGAGATTATTTTCATAAAATCATATAGTATATGAACACTACTAATATTATTTTTTACGTTATGCTGAACTTAAATTATATAATTTGAAAAAAATAGAAAATTTGGTAAATATGAATAGACATGGAATTATTATTATTAAAACCTGTTTGCATTAAATATTATTACCTATATCATTTTGGACCCTATATATCCCAAATAAATTTAGGTAGGTATAATTCATATAAAATAATTTTGCTTCCCGTTGGTAACTAACGTGTTCTGAGGTCAAGTGTCTCTAGTTCCCGGATGGGTAACCACAGGGGTTTTTAGCAACGAATACGCGTGATCCTCAACTAACCGTAATCCCCCTACAAAAATACTAATGGCCATATTTGAAGATGCATAAGACCAATAAGAAAAAAAAATAATATCAATATGTATATACATTTTTTTTGTTTTGCTTTACTGACCATTCAAGCGTTTTTACAGCTTATTTTTAAAAAAATATGCAACATCCTCGATCTTTTGAATCTGCAAGTCTCCTTCCATCAATACTTTTAAAATCGTTTATCATCAAATAAACCACCCAACATAGAAATAATCTTCTACCGATCTTTTTCTATTTGGTTTATTAGTGAGTACCAGTTTAATTAATTTCTCCTCTACACTTCATACATGTCCACTGACCAGCCACTCCAACCTTCTTTATTTTACCAAATCTTGTAAATCTGGTCCATTGCACAGTCTATAAGTCGACGTTCATTCTTCAATCGTATTCAACTGTGTTTATATTTAGTTTAGGTTCATTTTTCCGAAGTATTTTCCTTTCAAAAAACATTAGTTTAGTTTCGTCTAAGTTGCGTTATAGACTCGTCATACAGGCATACGGCACACCAGCCAGGCATTTTCAAAATATTGAAATTTTATTTTTCTATATTTTGTAACGCTATTCGTACGAATTTGTAAGTAGTGGTCCAGAATTTGTATGACCAAAGGAGCTCGAATATATCAAAAACCTTTCAAAAGGCTGGTACGACGTCATGTCAGACCCCCAAAGGATTTTTTATATTATATCTAAGCATTCTGAACCCTTTTGGTCATGCAAATTCTGAAACAAGGCGTACAAATTCATATAAATAACATTCTAAAGGATAGAAATTAAAATAAACTTTTTTAAAAATGGTGGGCTGGTGTTACGTATGTGCCGTGACAATACCTCATGGGTAAGCTGCAGTATGTACAGTTTGTACTTTGTATATCTTGAGAAGAGCTTATATGAAAAATGTTTACTCGTTGCGTAAATCCTCGACTTGCTCCACTTATTCTGAGCTTTATTTCGTTATACCTACGAGTTGTTTTTATAGTTAATGATAATGCCTATAAGTATTTTAAATTCTCAACCTTTTCAAAGGTTAACTAACCAATTTATTTCAATTTATTTTAAGACCCATAGTTTGCCATTACTGGAAAAGTTTTCTAGCACTTCTTTCTATTTCGATTTTAAATTATCCAAATTTTTTATTGATTTATACTTTTAAAAAACTTGTATTGGGTCCTTCTTATATTCTCAATGAGAATCTCAATGTTCTCCAGAATAATTTTTTCTGATGTTCTCTTTTGCTGTCTATAAAGATCTGTATATCACCAATAAATTTGATATATATTGAATACACTGGATGTTCATTTAAAAAATTCTTGTTAAAATATTTCATTTTCAATCATATAATAATATGACTTGTAATACAAAAAGTGATTTCCATTGATTTGATTTCCACAGAATGTTACGAATAATAAATTACCTACTAAAACATTTTTTTTATTTAGTTAATCTTTTTAACACCTATTTTAAATTATTTAAGTTCCACTCGACCCCTTTTTAAACCACTCAAATACTTTGTATTGACTGATTATTTAAATACATCAGCTAGGTACCTATCGAAGAAAATGCACTGTGAATTTAATCAGTCTGAAATGACCAAACATGTATTACAAGAGGGTGAATACAATGTAAGTACCTAAAACAACAGTCAATGATTCGCTTTTATGTTTCCACTCTTGATTAATTCGTACACTAAACAAAAGCTGAAAAATTAGATTTTCCTAGTTTCTATCAAGCCTGTCAAACCATTTTTATCAGTATGGGGCAAGCGTGCATTTGTGCAGTCATCAGTTAACACAGTTCTTTGCTTTTTTGAAGGATATAAATATGTGGTCAACTTTTCGAATGTCACTTTATCCTAATCAAAATCTATCCAAATTAATAGACGGTTCAAAAAGTCTTTAAGTCAATTGAAACAAAATAAAAATAAGAGGGAAGTTATAATTGAATTGATACGAATACCTAATGAAAATGTATTTGATTATCTAATTATTCTAATTTAACGGTCTTAAAGGTGACAAGAAAAATCAAATGAAATAAGGAGGTGATGTCGCTCTGCTGTATGCCTGTATAGTAGGTTTCAAGTTTACCTCATGATTGAGTAAGTCACTGTAATGAATGTGTTAAATTTGAATTCATTGAATACCTACGAAAAACGATTCTGATCGTAGATGGTGTGTTAGCCTCTACCTATATGTAGAAAGATATTTTATAAATTATTTATATAACTATAAGTAATTTATTTTAGATTCTAAGTGGAGTAATTAATATATTGGTTTTACAGTGATGTGCGTGTTGTCACCTTTTAAATCAGTAAAAATGATACTATCTTTAGTACTTTTAAGGTGGTTTCTAGTGAAAGTTGGAAATAACTATTATTTGGGTAATCTCTGATGCTCAACTATTCTTTAGTAATTTTAAAAATAATTTATTAGGAAAAATAATTATTAATTTTGACAAAATGCATTGTTTTTTTTAATCAATTCAAAACTGCTTAACACAGCTTAACACATCTGCTGGTCACAGATTATATTTAGCTATCATAATTATTACCTTTATTGGCATGTTATAGAAGTGATACAATTAAAAAAAAATATTTCTCATTTTATACTATTTAGTTTTTATAGACAACTAAATATTTAGCTTTTAAAAGCTAAAAGTTTTTACCATTTATCTATATGATAACATTTTTGTTTGTAAGTCAAAAAACTCGATAGTATAATATAACATTCATCAGAAGATTTTCTTAAAGTTACAAAAAATATCAAAAATACATAATTTAAAAACAGTTTTTTTGTTAGTGTATTTATTTAACGTCTAATTTTAATAGGTAGCTTAGGTGTGAAATTGTAATGAAAGGTTCATAATAAGTTAGTTTAACATATAATAATTAAGTAGACAATCATAATATATTATGCTCCATTTTTCATAAACATTTGATGCTAAAATTTTGAAAACCCACCTATTTAAATAAAATATAAAATTTTAATTATTTTATTGTAATCCAAAAAAACATTATTGTGTTGACACGAGACTATATTCTATTATGTATCATATTTATTCTACCTTCTACTGAACAAGTTAAGTTATATACTCGAACAAAATACTTTAAAAGTTGTAATTAAAGGAGGTACCTGATAAAAGTATAGATGTGGCAATATGTAAGTATCCCTTAGGAAATTGTTTATAGACAAGCTGTGAAAACAATTTTGATATATTTGTATGCTTATTACTGATTATTTTTTTTATTTAGTCCACCTTGATTAATGATCATTCTAAATTGTATGAAATAGTATCTAAATTAAATTATCTTCTTACATTTTAAATCTATATAAGTATATTTGTATAATAGTATACCAATGAATGATTCCTAGTTATGACTCCTTCGTGTATCATAAACTAGGTTAAATATTATTTTGGAACAATATTTTATAAGATCCAGTTTATTAAAAAACATTCTGTTAATTTTAAATCTGAATTAAAACTAATATCAAAAATATAATATACTACGTACTTAAAAAATAATATTTCAAATAATTATAAGTGATGTACATTATGCAACTTAAACTAAATGTATCGTTAACGATGTTTTACCATCAAAATGATTAAAAAGTTACTTAAGATAAAAATAATAAGATTATCAATAAACTTTTCAAAACTTAACTGTTAAACTTCGAGAGAACAAAGAAATATAAATTAATTTTTTATTCCTATAATATTTAGATGAATTTAAATATTATAATACATTCAACTTACCTCTACTTCAATTGGTGTGATGATCTTAGAAACACCCCAAACAATCATAATTACAAGCGGGAAACCTGTAACATAATAAAAATTATCGGTCACAGACCACAGTATAATATTAATATTTAAACAGTAGTAATGGCATTTTTAAAGTATTACATTTTAAATTTAAATTTATAAATTGTTATTTTTCATACATAAATGTATATCATATGGCTGGTTTAAAATGTACAGAATGTATCACAGACATTTGTTGTCTCCATCTCTCAAGTTTGTAATATACCAATTTTACGCTTAGAAAATAGCAGATCACGTTTAGCTTCGTTAGTTTAAAAATTAGAGTAAATCGTCATTCGACCTACTATGAAACTTGGTGGTAAGAACACTATCTGTGTTACAATGGTTCAATTTTTTAGCAAGTTTTGCTTATATAATATGGTGTAAATTAAAAATGGTCATAACCAACTTAAAAACTGAATTATCGTAAAAACCCACATACAAATACAGGTACCTAGGTAATGTTTTTAACATCAAGTTGTACCAATTAGGTCAATTCACTCTAATTTTTAAATTAACAAAGCTAAACGTGATCTAGTAACACAGAATTAACATTTCACCAATCTTTGGAGAGAAAAGGATATTTATGTATATTATAAAATAATTTAATAATAAATAACTATGATTTACATCGTACATGAAAACTAAAAAAACATTTTTATTAATGATTCAATATAAGATACCTAGGTATATAGTAGTATAGTACATATAATAAAATTGTAGTATCCTTTAAAATAAATTCCTAATCAATATTTGTCTATCACTTGTATTTCAGAAAAACATTTAAATTATAGAACTTTATATGTAAAGCATTGCATAAAAATAAAATAATAAATTTGTATGAAATTGAATTAAATTTAATATGTAGAATATTAATACCTATCTATATAGGTATATATATATCTATATAGCTGTATTAAATAATAAATCTGTTTATTAAAAATATAGCTATGTCACTAAAATTTAAACGTTTTTTATAATTTCAATTTTTTTTATATAAATAAATAACCTAACCTAATTACACAAAAACCTGAAATCTTGTAAGATTTAATCTAAATTGTAAATTTTAACTTCTATATTTAGGCCTATATTGTTTGTTCAAAATAATTTAAGATATTATTTACATTAAACTAAATAAAAACTTTTTCAGAAGAGACATGCATAAACATATACATTACACAGTAAAAAATATAGGTTATTACTTATTCGTTTATTAAGAGTTTAAAATACAAGCTGTTTAAAAGAATTAAACGTAATCAAAAACTTTTGTTTATTATACGTGTTCAAATATTTGTTTAAAGATGTGGTCCCCTAACTTTTTTTCGTAGTCACATTATTATTAGTTATTATAAGACATAAGTCACAGAACACTTTGGATAAACTTATAAACTTGTCTGCTTGCCAAAAATAAGTATGTACTTGGACCGGGAAACACATAAAAACGCGGATACGACGCAAATCAGTTTTATAAGTTTATCAGATATACCTAATAAAATATACTGTAAAAATAATTCTTCTTGTATCTAGTATAATATTATATTATTTTCTCACATTAACAAACAATATTTTATTTTAAAAAAAAAAACTAAGAAATATTTATCTTTGCCTGTTGAGGAATATGATATCTATGGTGCCCAATCCTTTTTTAGTTACACCAGAATACCAGATATACTTTATATTATCTAGAATTAATTGAACAAGAACAACTTGTAGAAATTCAGTCATTGTCCCGGTCATTAACTTCATTCTCGGAGTTTAATTCATATCGAGTATCCGATAATTATAGAAAAAAGCTATAAATACATTATTACCATTTTCTACAATATACCTATCTGCAAACTTGCTTTTTCCACACTAACCCTAATTAAAAAAAAAAAAAAACTTGAACAACTAACAAGAATTTCCAACCTATCTATGTTTATACTTTTATAGTCGATCCTTCTTCGAATTGAACTATTATGCAAATAACGTCAAGCACACGTTTCACACTAGAATTGTATAAATTTAGAGCCAAGACTTAAGATAAACTTTTAAACTTTAAAGTATATTGGCTATATTAGCATACGAGATTATACTTCATAAACATTCTTTCTTTAGTAATGTATATGTACTATACAATTTTAACAGTTTTATTGTGATTGACGTCTCTAGTAAGAATGTCTTCATTAATAAAGAATCTGCACATCATATATAAGTTGGTAACCAACAATTATAGCAATCATCCCCGTCTTCGATTAGCTGAAATGCAATTTGATTTTGAAAAATTAAAAATATGGCATAGCGTCCTAACTACATAGGATCTGATAATTTAAATTTGATAGTTGAGTGTCAGAAATTCTGAATATTGAAAAAATTCTAAGACATTTACAATTAATTTAAGTTTTATTTTAGATAAAATAACTATCTATTTCAAAATTATTATTTTTTTTTAATAGTTTTTTATGCGTTACCCAAATTTGTATTCAAAAGAGCATACATAACAATACTACCAATATGGACACAACATTTTTTTTTCGTTTATAAATTATCTCTAACAATAATAGTCCAAAAAATTAGACTGATATAAGTATATTTTGAGAACCGTAAATTGCAAATAAATTGGTATAAATTATAATATTCTTTTATTTATAATAACTTAAAAATTAACTAGGTAACTGACAATTCCAAAAATTTACGAGACACTGCCGGAAACAAAAAAACATAGAGTCGTCTAGGCCAAGGTTCACTGTGAACAGTAAAAACGCAACGGACATACCTAGTTATCTATCAAGTTTAGACTTATCAGTTATTTTAAATATCTATTCGACTATACCATTACACGATGTCATAAAAATATAAACAATGCTCATTATAATTTTTAAAGTAAAAAATTTTGTAACTAAACTAAACTAAACTAAGAAAAAGTGATAACTATAGTTATATTCTAAATCCGTAAATAAGTTGATAAATAATTTAATATAGCGAGTCTTCACTCTTCAGAACTTGTTTTTGTGAATTGATTAGATTTTTAGTTGAAAACAATATTTATAATAATACAAATTATCTTATAATTTATAAATAACTAATAGGAAATAATAGTATTTTTTGTTTTGTCATGAAATATTTATAAATTAATATTGTCTTTGAAATATTACAACCATTGAATATATAAAAAATTATAAGCTCTGCCGTTTATTTAAATTTTTTTAAGAGTAATTTATTAATGTCTTAAATATTTACCTGAAAGTAACAAAAGAGTATTTAATACAATAATACACTGTAAAGCAATATGAATAATTAACAAAAATTATTTTTTTTATTATTAAAATTATTACTTTAATATCATCAATACCAACTCAATATAATAATATTATAATATTTACATTTTAAAGTCTCTAAAGTTATTTTTTGTTTTAAAGTACAAAAAATAACTAAAATCTATCAGGGTCAACCCTTTTTTTTTAAATTTTTTCCAGAATTTTCTTCTTGTGCTTAAGAAATTTAATGAGAGAATGTATAAATATGATCTCTTTTAACTTCCCACTAGACTCAATACAATATGACGCTATATATTGTTATTCAAACCAATAAAATATTAAAATGTGTTGTTTTGAATAAATCATAGAATATTTATATCTATTACACTCGTTAAGTCCTGACTCATGTAAAATAATATTATTAAAAAATTCATTAAAAATGTAAAAACTGATCCATGCGTATATTGTATGTATTTAACATTGAAATTATATAAATAAGAACTAAAATTCTATGACTTAAATGTACAAATTAGATTTTATATCCTTTCTCATAAACATTCTCGATTTTAATTCAAAAAATTAAAACTTTTATACCACTTAGAATAAAATAATATGTAATAACAATACGTGAACACTAAATAACCTTGATTTTTACAACAGCAAAATAATAATAATAACCCATGTATATTGTATACACTACAAAAGTACCAGCGTTGAAATACACTACACAATTTCCAGATCGTTATTCAAATATGAGGAGCTGATGAAAATATGAAATGAAAGATTAACATTTACTCTACAATATCTATGCCTACTTAAAAACCCAGGTTGTTTCAATACTTTCAAACAATAAACCAACCTATACAATTTATACATAAATGTTACAACATATTGTTGATTTTATGAAGATACTTCCAATAATTTTACAAACAGGTAAATACAATACTTTCAGCAACTCCTTCAAATATTCTGAGAATAAATATGTTTTAAACTCTAAATACTCAATACACCAAAATCGTTTAAGTTGTTTTAGATTCTGAGTGATACGATGAATGTATTGATTTTACAATGATGTGTGTTTTTTTTTTTTTTTGTGTCTGTCATCACCTTTTAGGACAATAAAAGTGCTTGGATTTTCTTCAACAGTATCTTTTCTGATAGGAAAGTGAATCTAGTTGGTACTTTGGGGGGTCAAAAGTAAAAATTTACTAGTAGTTTTCAAAAGCAACGTGAAAAACAAAAGAAAAATTAAGGAAAAACGGGAATTTTTACTCAAAATCTGTTTTCGAGAAAATCGATTTTGGTTTTTGGTGTAACTTTAAAAGAAATGAACTAATATACATGAAATTTTCACTGGTTGTTTATATTTGCATTTTATTTATACGATAACATTTTCAAAATATTTTGATTTATTTTGAACTGTTTAGGGACATTTTCATTTTCCATTTTTTTTTTAGTTTTTTTTCTAAAAATATCAATAAAATTGTATTTGTTGGTTGTGAAAGCTTGAAAATTTAATAGAAGGCTCCTAGTATATTGTTTCAAAGGCAGATGAAAAATATTAAAAATCCTTAGTCACAATTTTTTTTTTATAAGCATTTAAAGTTCAAAAATTGACAAAATATGGAAAAATCACGAAAATTAGCAAATTATTTTGAGTTAAGAATTCGAAAAAATTTTTCTTTTTAAATCTAAGATTTGAAAATGTAATACAAGATTCCTTATTTTGTTGCAATTAAAAAACGAATAACTTTAAATACATGAAAATTTCACTGAATGTTTAAATTAGCATTTCCTATACACCATACAATTTTGAAAATATTTTGACTCTTTTTGAGCTATTTACGGACATTTACCGCTTTTAATTTTTTTTAGTTTTTTTTTCTATAAATATCAATAAAGTTTTATCTGTTGGGCCAAAAAGTGTAAAAATTTAATACAAGGCTTCTGATATATTGTTACAATATCAGTTGAAAAATATTAAAAATACAGTTTTTTTTATAAGCATTTAAAGATCGAATTTTGACAACATTTATCAAAATCTCGAAAATTATCAATCATTGTAATTAATAAATTATAAAATGTTCAGTTTTTATAGCTAAGGATTGCAAATTTAAAACAAAGGTTCTCATAAATAGTTCATACTGTAACCAAAAAATCTAAAAAATATATGAACACAGTTATTTTTTACAGACATTTTAAATTCAAATTTGGACGAAATTACATATTAAAAAACCTAGAATAACAATTTTAGTTATTTTGTTGTGATTGAATAATATTATTCGTGGGTACTTGAAACTTCTAAAGTGTACTATTATATATCTATGATAGTATCACGGTTTTTGTTGATGTATAACGCGTTATAAGTACCTAATGGATATTGTGATATGATTAATTTGGAATTTATTTTAGGTACCTATTATAAGTCAATTTTTTTTAATACCATAGATATGTATATAATTTGTCTTAAACCTAGACTGACATACCGTCTCCGCTCAGAATCGTTTTTCTTATACAATGATATTATATCGTTGAATTCAAATTTAATATCATCCATTATACAGTGACCCACTTGTAACCTACTGTACAGCAGAGCGACACCCACTTGCCCACCTTTTTTAAATTTTATTCTATAAATATCAATTAAATTGTATTTGTTGGTTAAACATTTTATAAAGGGCTCCTAGTATATTGTTTCAAAGGCAGATGAAAAACATTAAAAATCCTTAATCACAGTCTTTATTCATAAGTATTTAAAGTTCAAAATTTTACAAAATATGGAAAAACCTCGAAAATTAGCAAATTATTTTGAGTTAAGAATTCGTAAAAATTTTTCTTTTTAAATCTAAGACTTTAAAATGTAATACAAGATTCCTTATAAGATTATCCACCTTTATCAAAAAAAAAATTTCTATAAGAAAGTCAAATTAAATTTTTATGAGCGCTTGAAATTCAAATGTTTACAACATTGGATATTTACTAGATTTCTCGTGTAGCGATTTCCTTATTTTATTGTAATTCAAAAACGAATGACTGTAGATACATGAAAATTTCACTGAACGTTTATTTTAGCATTTCCTATACACCGTACAATTTTGAAAATATTTACGATTTATACAGTTTTATGAATAAATAAAATAACAATTTTATAATAACGTGATTTGGTACACATATTACGCTTATTTTAATTATTGAATAAATAACATAAATCCCTGAAGGTATGTATATTTAAATTGAGTAAAATATGCAACAAAATTATTTATTTTTTGTTTTTGGAAAATCATTCTATAGGAATCACTGGGAAACTCATGTGATGACCCAGGCCCCAGAAATTACCATTATTCAAGTTAAATCATGATTTCAATGAACCACTATTGTGATAAATAATTTAGAATGTAAATTTATAACAATCTTATGTTGATTATTATGTTTATCAATTAATTCCAGTAGGATTCAATAGAAGCTTCAATGAGATTGTCCTCCTTAGTACTATGTTTTATTTACCATAAATTGTTTCACTTCACTACATTGAAATAAACTGTTGATGGCTGATGAGACCGATTGTGAATAAATGTTTAAAGACAAAAAATATTAAAAATCTATATACCGTACAACAAACACCAATATAGCAGACAAAAACATGTAAATAACTGAAAGTTTCCCAAATAAAACAAGTTAATATGGAATGTTTTTTTTTTTTTTTATGAACTAAGAAAAATTATGAAAATTATGTTTAGTCAAAAATTTTAAGGAGTAAATTTAAAAGTAACGATTTATACTTCGTGTAATTTATATTAGCTTCTAAAGCTTATACTAAAACTGTAAGAATGTGAATACTGTTATTAACTTTGAGCCTTTATAGTATTGTTTTTATCAATTTCTCTGAAGTTTTGAGATAATAAGAACAACGATCAGTGATACAAAAATATTTTTTTTTTAATATTTTAAATTCATAGAATTCCTATTATTTATAATTGCAATAAACATAATATTATAATATATAATATTTAAATTCCTATGATATTTTATGAGAATTAAAAGTAATAAAAAAGTCTACAAACAATTTTATATATTAAGTTGAATTTTTATATTCTAGAAATATAATTTAATATAAAATCGATTTTTAAGATCTACTTTCACTACAAATTTATAAAACAAAATAAACTAAACATGTTTATTTTATTTTTCATAAACCTTCACATAATAAAATAGACTGTATCATTACATTATTATATTTTATTTACATTATATCATATTAAATAAATATAAAAACATGTTAAATTTGTATTTAATGCCTTTGAAACGGTTTATATTTTATTTCAACAAAAAAATGTGGTTTGGAAGTCAAGGCCTCTTATAATTATTCAATATTTTATTCATATACAGAATGTAAAAAAATTATACAAATGCGGAATAATTCTAATTCTTGAAATATATTCCCATATTGAAAAAATGTATATTTTCCTAAATTATACATCATTTAATTACATACTATATCGCTAATGGATTTTTGAAATTTTGCTGTTCAAAAAACTGTTAGGTGCCAAACTAAATTGATGAAATTCAAAAGATAACTGAAACTCTATTATTGGATAAAATTATATAATATGAGATTGAATTTTATAAATTAATAAGGCTCGATACTTGATAGTCATTTTCATCCTCGCCTGTGTTATAATTAGAAGCGCAATTATATTAATATGAAACTTAATTTAATTACAGCTCAAAATGATAGTGCAGGTGTATTGAAAATTGGTTAATATAATAAGTAGTGATGATAAATTGCACTTAACAAAATTGATAAATTAAAAAAAAAAATCAATACATGCATCGTTCTACTCAGAATCTAAAAAAAAGATGTAATAATGTTAATAATAATAATTGATTTCTTATTTCTTATTATTATTAAATGAGCACTTAAATGAAAAACTTACCCCCAGCCAATAAACATGTAAACGCGGAGCTTGATATTTTCTCTGGTGAAAGTTTCTACACCAAATATACAGATACAAACTAAACGAATGTTTAAACAAGAAAGCATTAATAATCTATTCATTTTTTCAATCAAAGGTTTTAAGCAATCCTTACCTTCGACAAACATCCAAAAGAAATTCGTTAAAACAAAGTAATGTAACGAAAATGGATAACACACACAAGCGTTATTACTAGCTGAAAGCCATTCCTGAAACAATTGTATAAGTAATTGTTTTTTTATTTAAAAAACAACATATTATTTAAAGATTATTTTTTTTATATTAGTATACATTTAATTGATCATGGATCTGTTAAGATAATATAAAGGTTATTCGTTCAATATCCATTAGGATATACTGCAAAATGAACTGTATGATTAATATTAATACATTCTATACATACCTATAGGTACAAATATTTAAAAATATAAAATATAAAAATTATGCATACAATATGATAGCTCCACTAAAAGACAAGATTTTTTTTGTTGTTCTGTATACAACTTTAGCTTCTAAGTTCATTATTTTTTTTAAAAATTTTCACATTTAAATATTGTTACAGTTACGTTTTTTTTATTAATTTTGGATACATTTATAGTATAAATAGTAATATATTAAATTATAGTTTGATTCAATAATTAACACACATTTTTGTGTATTGTAGCACCGTAAATACTGTAAAGTCGGTCAAGTTAAAATTTTTTTGAGTTGTTAAATTATTAATTACAAATAACTATACAAAATATCAAAAACATACTTATTGAATTTTCAATTTTGTTTAGAAATTGTTCACATACCGGTAGTGTTGATGTCAATATCCATGTAAAATCAATAGTATATAAGTGCACATCAAATTTGTGTGTATTGTGTTTCTCAAGCATCTCAAATCTCTGAAAACATTTAAAGTATTTGATAGTTATACATGTCCAAAATTCTATAAGTTACTAAATTAATTTAACTATAGTGTAAATACTCTATATACCTATGTATATATTAATATTTGAGGTATCATGAGTCATGACTGACTGGTTGATTTGCAATGGAGCTGTGCATAAGAATGGTGCGTTTGGATTTTTAAATATTCACATTTTAAAGATAATCTCACACAGAGATTTTGTTTATAATATTATAGGGTGTTCATTGGTTACGAAATAAAGACTTTTTTTTTTTTCATTCATTTTAAAAATACTTTGATTGACCTCCGAATTTATATAATTTATAAAATATGTTTTGTCCTATGACCAAACACTATTTCGAGAGCGATGTTGACACAAGTTCAGACTGTTCTTAGAGAGATCAGAGTTCAAATTTAAGAAGTACTCGTTCCTTGAACCCACGTTCGAAATATACCAAGAGCTATTTCTAATCCGCCACAGATATGGATTGCCACCTCGGTCGAATTAGTTCACAAAGCGCGGTACAACGTATTCCGCTTTCCAGTGAAACTGAGGTAATTTACGATGGCTAAACCAAGATACAACCCTATAATAGCATCGTATTTATATTGGTGATTTGTTCGCCCGTTGAACTCGGGTTACACAAACCAGTCTATATAGATATATATAAATGTTCTGTTCTGTCTTGTGTGTCCTTTATGCAGTTCCTAAACAGCTGGACCGATGGTGATGACATTTGGTACAGAGATAGATTAGACGTCTGAGCAGAGGTAGCTAATTTAAAAAGGGAGAGGACCGACCCCAGGAGGTGCAAAAATAGGGATTTTGAGATTTCCGATAAAAATTTTTGTTTATAAATGGTTGTCATGGGTCTTAAAGCTATTATTATTACTTTAAACATATTATTCATATAGAGATGGAATTTTTAATGGGCAACAGTGCACGGAATCAGCTGGTATTATATAAATTAATATAGTATATGATAATGGGCAATAACAAATTGGACAAATAAAAAATGAGCCCTCGTGGGACGCCTGGCAGATGTGAAACATTAAAATTATTTTGTACAGAAAATATGCATGAAAATCGAAAGGATGGTTTATTAAAGGAAATAAACATGGCATAATAAAAAAAAATATTCAAATTTTTTTAAGAAAAATTATTTATTTTAAAATGTATTATTTATTAATTATTAATTTTACGTGTGTTGGCTAGCGTTGCGCGCTTTTGCAGTTTGCGCGTTGTGTGTGTGGTAACGTGTCGCCACGCCAACAGCCAGTTTCAACTGCCGAATTAAATGTTTCACATCAATACATTGTGTAAAATCTGACCATAAAAATCCAATTAAAGTAATAATAAAATAATATACTTTTATGCTAATATTTTTCGTGGCATATTCAATCGATCTAATTATAAATAACTTATAATATAACAGAACATTTTTTTAATTTTTTAAAAAAAAGTGTACCCATGTATAAGTTATAAATCCTATCGTAGGTATAGTATCAACATCCTCAAAGTTCAATTATAGCCAACTATAAAACCAATCTATTTCTCTATGTACAGTTTAAAATAAGTAGTAAAATTTTTTTTTTACAATTTACCTTATTTTTACCTATATAATATCATTACACATATTAGATATAAATCGTAGTACTATATTTTTTTTTTATAAATTAAAATATTTGTCTTAAGCAGAAGTAGCTTAAAAGGTTGTTTTAATGACTATAATATGTATGTAATAAAAAACAAATAACAAAAGAGTATATCTTTGAAGTTTACGAGATCCTTTTCTTTAGGGTGTTGCCCTGGTATTTGTGAAACAAAATTAACATATTATTTACCACAAGAGTACCTATAAGATACCTACATTCATACGCTGTCAGCATGTTTTTAGCTGTACAAAATACAACCATGGTATCTGCAGACTACACAAGGTGTAGACTACACCTACCTTTCTTCTTAGCTGATATGGTTAAACTTTCAAAAATACCTATACTAAACCAACATAACTTTGTATTTATTGCTAAGTTAATTTTTAGAACAAAATCTAATTTTTTGAGATAATATGTAGAACGAAAGTACGTTTTAAAAAGCTTACCTAAACGATGAAAATAATTAAATAAATCTCACTGATTAAGGTTTTATATTTTTTTTAATGGGAAATTATTCAGCTTAGTTTATTTTTGCATAGTAACTTGTATCCAAGACTTATATACCATATTCAACAACATAACAAAGGGACACTAAAAACAGATTTTAGTACACAATATATGGGACCTAACCATTGGTATTTATAATAATTAAGTAAATTAAAAAATCAAACAATTATTTGATTATTATTTAGGTGGTCAATAATCATTACGTAGGTATAGGAACTGGAACATACATTATTAATATAATCAATACAATATTAAAACATAGATAACATAATATAGATAATATTTATAACAACCAAAATGAAATTTTAGTTAACAATAAAAGAAATATTCACAACCTTATACCTATAGTTGCAGAAATTTTCAAAACTGTGATGTAAAGTTTAAATAAATAAATAAAAGTTGTCCTGTAAGATTCGGGATTGAGTAAGATGGACTACTAGGGTGAAAATCTTTAAATTTAAAACAATGATAAATCATTGCATCGGAAAAACGATTTAGTGCGAATCTCGAATGACCCAAGAATTATCAAGATTTATCTGAAAAGTAGATTACTTGACTTTTCAATTTTTTTTATAATTTTAATTTTTCACTAAAAGCACCTTAAATATTCGAATAAAAAAGTTTAAAAACGAGCGTATTTATTCAACTTCCAATCTAAAGTGTAAACCTCTAGAGTGGAAAAATGCCACAAAACATACATGATATCCTAAAAAAAAGGACGATTTATTGTAAAACCAATACATTACTTCTCAGGATCTAAAATAGACAAATTTGACACGCACTCTACTTTAATAGTTAGATACCTAGATAACACATATTTTAGGTTCAGACCATTTTATTGTGTCCAACACAGTTATTAGTTTTACAATGCCTTTTTTTAATAAGAACTTTTGGATCAGTAAGAAAAATAAAAATCTATAGTTTATTAGCCCCTATATATTATTATATTGGATATATACTATATGATAATGCAATTTTTTAAATGTACCATTAGCAGGCCATAGTTTTCACTACTGCAGTCCTTTGCTGAAGTAAGTTAACTCTTGAAACTGATGAATTAAAATACATATTATATAGTACCAAATTAAACATTCTAATTGGAATTTCTTTCTAACTGTGACCAATCATATTTCAGTGACATTATGTTCAGTTGACAACATTATCCCATACCGGCCATACCTATTTAGTTTTAGTGTAGGTACCTATTTAAATTTTTTCATATTTAAAATGTTAATACATTTTTCTTTAATTACTTAAATGAAACAAATTCACATAATTATCAAAGCAAATAATTATTCTGTATACATATATATATTATACTTACTTAAAGTAAACAAATATGGATACAGCTGCCACCAATGCCACTAATGATATGGTATAACCACCATAGTAAAAGTATGATGTGTATACAATTGATGGATCTGGATACAATGGATTGTTTGTATCCAAAGGTCGGCAATTCATATAATCAGAAGAATTTTCCCAAACACCATTCGATTTGCAACGACGACTAGCATTTTCTGTGAAAAATAATAGCATTTGATAATACAATACTCCAACTAACTGTACATAACCCAATAAATCATAAAGTATATAAAATATCGTATTATGGGTATACTTTTGTGAAGACATTTTTATGATATTTCGTTATGATACGTAATTTATACATAAAAAAATATACTTATTTATGTAGCTATTAAAAACTATAATAAGTATATTTTTTTAATCACAGTACTTTTTTAAAAATATAACAGCAAATTAAATGGAAATAAAACCATGATTTTAATAATTATATTGTAATAATTGTAATTCAAAAAAAATATTAATCGCAAGAACTTAATACTTTTCACCGTTATTTAGATACAATAGGTACCCACATCGTACATTATTATATTCAAATATTCAATGCACAATACAATTTTAAAAATATATGTAAACAAACACCATTCTATGCTACTTGGTATTGACTTATAAGTTAACAATAATAATGTACGAATGTGCTTCATCATCATCGATGACAAGACTTAAAGTAATTTAAATACAGTAGAAATCGTTTATAATGACATTCAAGGGACCAAGGAAAATAGGTGGTGATAACCGATAGTCATAATTACCGATAAAATATTACATATAAAACTTACCTATGCATTTTTCGAGCATTTTGCTTTAATGTCATAAAACCCGATATATCACACTACAACTCGTGTCATTATAAACGATTTCTACTGTATACATTAGGTATACAATATCCTTAGAAATACAGGAAGACACAACGGCTAGGCTCTGAATCATTTTTTTTTTACAATTATAATTAATCATTAAGTTTAATTATAACACAATCATTATTCATTACTGTGACTTACTCAATAACGAGGTAAATTTTGAAACCTAGGTACTATACAGCAGAGCAACTTTAACAGTTTTGGATTCTGAGCTGAGCGAAAGAATGTATTGATTTTACAATGATGTGTTTTTTTCCGTTTGTCATCACCTTTTGTGGACGTAAAACTACTCTGATTTCGTTCTACATCAGCATCTTTTCAGGTAGGAAAGTGAATCTAGTTGGTTCTGTGGGGGTAGGGGGTTACTAGTTCACAATTGTTTTTAAATGCGTCGTGCAAAAATAACATAAAAAATAAAGCAAAATGAATATCTTTACAAAAAACTATTTTTTGACAAAATCGATTTGGTTTTTGTAACTCAAAAACTAAATAACTAAAAGCCTTAAATACTTAAACTTTTGACTAAATATTTATATGACAATTTTCCATACATGATAAGTGATAACATTTCAAACATATTTTGACTCTTTTTGAGCTATTATTATAGTCATGACTCATGATAAATTCTTAATTTTTTTTTTTCAATTATTGTCGATGAATGATTTATCGCTTTATCAAAAAACTTGAGTGTTTTATACAAGGGTCCTCGTAAGTTGTTTTAATAGTAGTCAAAAAATACTAAAAAGTAAAGACACATAGGCAAGATTTTTTTGAAAAGCATTTAAAGTTAAAATGTTGACAAAATTAATGAATACCTATCATTAAAATTTACAAAATATTTTGTATAGTTAAAACTTAATAAAATATTCAACTTTGATAGCTAATGCTTGGAAATGTAATACAAGGTTTCTAGTAAGTAGGTCATACATATAGGAACAAAAAAATCTATGGGCACAATTTTTTTTCATAAATATTCTATGTTCAAATTTGGATTAAATTGGATACCAAAAAAGGTGGGCAAGTGGGTGTCGCTCTGCTGTACAGTAGGTTACAAGTGGGTCACTGTATAATGGATGATATTAAATTTGAATTCAACGATATAATATCATTGTATAAGAAAAACGATTCTGAGCGAAGACGGTATGTCAGTCTAGGTTTAAGACAAATTATATACATATCTATGGTATTAAAAAAAATTGACCTATAATAAATTCCAAATTAATCATATCACATTATCACAATACCCATTAGGTACTTATAACACGTTATACATCAACATCAATAACAAACCCTGATACTATCATAGATATATAATAGAACACTTTAGAAGTTTCAAGTAGGTACCCACGAATAATATTATATAATCACAACAAAATAACTAGGTTTTTAATATGTAATTTCGTTAAAATTTTAACATAAAATGACTATAAAAATAAACTGTGATTGTATATATTTTAGATTTTTCTTTAAGAGAATTAACTACTTATGTGGAATCTTGTTTTTAATTTACAATCCTTAGCTATAAAAACTGAATATTTTATAATTTATTAATTACGATGGTTAAAAATTTTCTAGATTTTGAAAAATTCTGTCAAAATTCGATGTTTAAATGCTTATAAAAAAAATTGTGCCTATGTATTTTTAATATTTTTGAACTGATATTGTAACAATATATCAGGAGCCTTGTATTAAATTTTTACACTTTTTGGCCCAACAGATAAAACTTTATTGATATTTATAGAAAAAAAACTAAAAAAAATTAAAAGCGGTAAATGTCCGTAAATAGCTCAAAAAGAGTCAAAATATTTTCAAAATTGTATGGTGTATAGAAAATGCTAATTTAAACATTCAGTGAAATTTTCATGTATTTAAAGTTATTCGTTTTTGAATTGCAACAAAATAAAGAAATCGCTACATGAGAAATCGAGTGAATGTTGTAAAAATTTGAATTTCAAACGCTCATAAAAATTTTATTTGACTTTCTTATATAGTATAGTATAGTATATCTTATAGTATATACCTACTGTACTCCAATAGTAAAATAAATTACTTTAATACCTAGAGATAATTTTTTTAAATAAACCTGGTACCTAAATATAGCCTGACAGATCGTCTTCACTCAGAATTGTTTTTTGTATGCAATGATATAAATATATTATCATTGAATTCAAATTTAACACATGTATAACAGTAATAAACTTATCACCTAATGTACAACAGAAAGGTATATCCACTTCCCCACCCTTTTTTTTTTTTGTATTACGACGATTATTTAACGAACAGACTATGGAATATTCGTTTAGAGTTTAAACTGTTTATGTATTATACGCCAAAACTAACAAGGTATTTACGCTATACTTAAGCACTAATAATATTTGCAAAAACATAAATGATATGATAATATTTGTCACCAGGCGGAAGACTATGTCATCTGCACGTAAGACGACTGACGATAATTTTATTGAGCAGCCACAAAAATATTTTCAATCAGCTACCATATTTATAGATATACTGAATTTTTGTATAGTTTATATTATAACGAAACTACGAAAAATCTACTATATCTAATATAAAAAAATATATCTAATCAACCACTTCTTTATGAATTTTGTAAATGGAAATTAATATCTAAGCCTAACGCCCTAACCACTATATTGATGATATAGACATATGTAGACTATACTTCTAAAGTTCAACTTTATTTAAACGCTCAATGATAATATTTCTATCCATATTCTACTTATATGGTCATTTCTTTCTAACAAAGTTAAAAATTAAGTATTTTTACCACAAAAAAATTGAAATAAATAAATATATTATAAGCTAAGGCTAAAATAAATTATTTTTAATATTAAATTATTATTAATAGGATATATATTTATCATAACAATTTCAATATTATAATAATACATAATAATATACAGGTACAATGCAGTACATGCAGTACATGCACTATAGCGAATATATGTGATGAGGTGACTGTGTACCGCAGTCTGTGTAGTATTCAGTCTGAATAAAAACAATATGATTCTTATTAAACCGAAATTTATATAATTTATATCATTAAGGTTTAATTCAAAGTAATGCAATTTTAGACTTAATAATATTTACAATTTATATTTATTTTTTATATTAGTATATGTAAGTAATAGTTAGCTGTAACTGTAAGTAAATAAATATTATGTATAGTTACTTACAACTACAATATTTGTGAATGTATACTGCCTACATAATACATTCAACATATAATATTTTAATATTATTTATTTTGTGATGGGTACCTACTTAATTTCTTATTATTTTATATTTTGCCATTTTAGCATTATTCTCACTGTCTTGCAGGTTATTATACAAAACTTCAACTTATTAGAACTAGAAGTTAAGATAAACAATTTGCAGGTTAAGTATTTATATTATTGAACAACTAATTACATAGATGCAACAGCTAGTAATATTATAAGTACAATGTTGGAACAACCACAGAGCACAACACAATCTAGGTTACGTATCCAGGAATCCTTATATAAATTATCATATTCTTCTTCATATTTATGTTATGTGCAATCTACATTTCAACCACTAAAGTTCAAAGGGACAAGAAACTTACAACTTACTTATCATCTTATTTAAAACAAATTTAGGTTTTCAAATGGCTTCATTTTAGCTATAAATTTTTATTTAAAGTCCTTTATAAATTCAAAATTAAACAAAATGTTATAAATTATTAAATAAATCAGGAAAAATAATTTCTCAAATATATAAATCCTATTAGGTACCTCCCTACATAATATATTATTTTAATGGCAACATAGATTAAAAATATCTTTAAAGTGTTTGCCAATATTTCTCCCATATATATATTTCTCTACATGAGCTCTATTTCACTATAATAATATTTGGTTGATGCTAATTTTATTCTTTATAAATCACAGTATATGCAATATACCTAATACTTAATGATTATGATTTATGACTAGTATATACAATTTACCACAATTCCATCCACTGTATTTAAGTATTAAGTGTCTAATAAAAATAATATATTTGACACATATTTTAAACGTCCTTAAAAATTAGTAATACCTGTGATCTAACATATAATAAATCAATAAAATATTCATAATAAATTAAATTAATCAAAAATAAAAATATTTAATCTGGCTAACGGTGGTTCTTTCATATTTTTAGTGAGGTAATTCGAGTCTTACTGTTATCTAAAAATGGTATATTGTTGACTTGAGGACTACCAATGAATATGCGCACGACGCATCAGTGTTGCACGTAGAAGTTGCTCACAAAACTTGAATTAAATTTACAAAAAGGTATAGAACTATAACTTTAGCCTCCCCTTAGTGTTTCTATAGCCCCCCCCCTAAATTTTAAACCCTACTTACGAAACTGAGTTCTATGGATGAGTAACGTATCTAAATTAATTTTTGGTTTATAAAAGGTCGCTTCCCATGCATTTTTTTTAGGTATCCGTCTTACAAAAATGCGACATAGCATTATAGAAAATTTGCGTTCACTAGTTTCAATCGTGTGTATCTAATTTTTGTTCAATTATTGAAACTAATGAACGAAAATTTGATATGCCGTACTTTTGTAGGACGGAGACAACAAACGCGTGAGTAACGTAGGTACTAGCATATTCTTAGCTAGACCACAAAAAAATGAATATGATTAACAAAGATAATGTATGGAGATTGTATGCAATAATGATATAGTTGTTGAGATGCAACAGACTTCATAAGGAAGAAATGTAGTAGGTATCCATCCTAAAAATATACCCTACCTTAATCCAATACATAGGTATTTAATTTTTAAAACTTAATATCTCGAGGTTTAGGAATTAGGATTGGTACACACGTAAGTTATTTTGAAGTGCAGCACTGCTGCGCCATGGCAATTTATTGTATTATACATTTATACATACACGTCACACACATCCATCTGTTCGCAGTTCTATTACGCCGAAACAGCCATACAACAAAATATAGATAAAATAATATATTTTTATCCGGATAATAAAAAAGTACCTATATGGTTATAAAATAATAAAAAATATAAGTTTTTTAAAATGTAACCTAAATTTTACTATACCTAGTCTTAACATTTAGGTACATGTTATTTTATTCTCATCGTAATTGTTGCGTTAAAATATGTGCTTGAGTATACATTTATACGTACCTATTTTAGAAGTATAGTTAATTCATTACTATAACAATATTACAGTCGATTAATGGGAAAACTAAAAAATGTAATTTAAAATTAATTAAGAGAATAAAAAAAACTTATTAAATATGTCTTAAGTATTAACATTTTAATAAATGAAAAAGTCCATTAACACCATCATGATATTATCAAACAAATAATAAAATGACATAACATTATATAAGGCAAATATAGAATCTCTCAAATATTTCATTTAACTTGTATATTTAATATGATAAATCTGAATAAAGTTACTTACGTGATGTATCGTAACGCATTCCGTTGAGTTCATCAAAACAAGCTTGGTAAACTACAGCACCAGGTTTTGAAGTTCTCCAACATAACAATAGATCCCAGTGACTAGGACACCAACCAGGGTTTAGTACTTTTTCGGGCCCACAAGTCTAAATAGGTATTTCCAAAAAAATTATATAAGTACATAAAAATGAATATAAATAGATTTTGTAGAAATAAAAATATTATGTCCTACATGAGTCGTTGAAATATTTATATAAAAATTAAAGTACCTACAGAATTTCTATGTCCTACTTATTTTTAAAATTATTTTGTATACTTATACATTAAAGTATTAAACAATAAAACTTAAAATTAAAATATTGCATTGTCTCCCAGTATCAGTATCACGACCTTCAAGTGAGTATGGACATGATTGATATTACTAATTTATTCATTTAAAAATACCTTATTCATTATAATTTATATTTTTTTTTAAATAAAACAAGATACCTTAAATTGAATTTTTGATTCAAAAGCAAACTCTGCAAAATACAATTGTGTATGGGCTATAATTTGTTTCAAAATGAAGTAACTTAAATAACTTAGATCACGATTTCAACTATTTCTAGTACCTACCTAAATAGAGCCAAAATGTCATGAATAAACAAATGCCTATCTATGGATTGGTTTTCGGTAATTTGTAAAAACATACATTTAAATACTAAATTGCCAAAATTAGTTTTATACAACCAATCCAAATGGGTGAAGATATATCACAGGTATTTTAAAATTTGTATGAAATTAATCTAGTGATAGCATACTTGCATACTTATACAAAGTTAAATATAAGTATTTAAGTATATAAGTACGTTTTCAAAGTCATATGATAACTAAAATACTGAATACAACTGTAATTAAAGTCATTAAATTATTAAGTGTTGCCTGTATTTTTTATTACCCATCATTCGTTTCTAATTTCTACCCTCACAGAATAAATAGTAGGCTCTTTTTATTTCACTGTTCACATAATTAAATTAAGTAAGTACACATATTATGTATATTATATAAAAATGAGTCTTAACTTTTAGTGTGAATTTTAGCTTTATTCAAGGGTGTCCAGCCCCACAGAATATAATCCGAGAATGGAGGCAAAGAAATCAATATAACTAAATCTCTATTTATTTATAAACTACAATTATTCAAATTTTAAGTTTATTGATACTCACGTTATTTGTAGAAGTGATATTCATTGTAAATTTGATTTAAAATTATTTCTGAAACAAAGTAATTTAAAACATACATTAGGACTTCTAATATAATTTTAGTTACGTCAACTAATCAAAATAAATTATTGTATTATAATTTATAAAGCAGTTACTACAAAAATAACTAGGTATTTATTACTAATTAGTAATTATATATAATTATATTGGTATTTAAATAAATGGATAGGTAATATGAATTGATACATTATTAATTCAGGATTATGAGAGAGGTGCCAAGGAGGTAACTAAAATGTTATAAGTGTAGTTAAAAGCTAAAAGCTTTGTACAAATTTGTTCTATATAAAGTGTATAATAAGATAATATATATAATATGTGCAAGAAATATATATTTTTATATATTTTCTCTTTTTGAAACAATTGGAATCGACAACAATTACGCAATTACGGTAAAGATGTGCAAGGGTGTTAACTATATCAGATATCTTAACTATTTTTTACATACACCAAATTTTAAATATTAAGAAAATATGAACAATTACTATAATAATATAGTTGTTACTATTAATATAATATCGTTTACAAAATATGAAACAATTCTAATTTATTTCACAAATAAAAATAAAATTTGCAGGTAAAGGAACATATATGTAAATAAAATATAAAAGTAAAGAATCAATACAAGAAAATAACATAATTTTATGGGTGTATACTAAAACTGATAATTGATAATTTCTCAGAAGGTATAAAAGCTTGAAAATTGTATGCATGGTTTCTCATTAATTGTTTTTGTACCTAATAATTTAATAAAATAAACACATTCACAAGTTTTTTTAATAAGCGTTTGAATTTAAAACGTCGACAAAATGTAAACAAAAGTATTCGATTTTATTATTGAATTATTATTACCTAATTAGAATACAATTTTCAAAATATTTAGATTAATTTTGAACTATTTATCCATGAATCTATTTACACCTATTTGGCCTAAGATCTATGGATGGTTTTAAATTGGCGATTATGGTAGTCCTCTCCTAAGATCTAAGAGAGTTTTTTTTCTTTAATATAGCCAAGCCCGGATTAAGGGGGGGGGCAAGGGTAGCACGGTCCCGGGGCCCATATTTATCCCCAATATATATTTTTTTAACTCGTCCATTACAGTTTAAAAAAAATATATATATTTAAGTAGGTAGGTATAGGTAGTAGGTAAATTATTATTACTTAATAATAATAATAATTATAAAATAAAATTGTTATCAATTTTATATCACAAAAAAATTACTATAAATAATGAACTGTGTTGGCAAACACAATTTTGATTATGTTTTTTTTTTTCTGAGCATTTTCGATTAGGTACTGATTTAACTATTTAAGTATATAGGTAGATATAAGAAAAAAATATTTAGCTCTTGTAAATTAAGTATTTCAGTTAAAAGCATTAATGCATATTAAACTAAACTTTCGAGGACCATAGTTAATAAGTAATAACTTAGCAAACTAAAATTGATCATTTGACTGTCAAAATGTTCAGACAAAAACCTTTACCTGAATCCATGAAAAAATAAAGTGGTTAGGAGGAACCATTTGAAAAAAATAAAGTCGATTTTATTATTGGTACAACTGTGTTTAAAAATTTTTAAAATGTTATAAAAAAAATGCCTGTTAAAAATAAAGAAACAAGTCTTTTTTTGTTTTAACGAAATTCTATATCATCGATCCATAATTGTTAAAAAAAATCCATGAGTACCTACTATGACATTGACATAAGATACACTTTGTACATTTTTTCCATTGTAAAAAATTATACAATAATATAAAGTCATTAATATGTAATAATACAATTATTTTGAAGTTAAAGTTGAAAGGGGGCCCACTAAGTGTATGGTGTCCAGGGGCCCCAATTGATCCTAAATATGGGCTTGAATATAGCATATTATAATATTATGCCTAAAATATATAACCATAATTCTTATGTAATATAAGTAAAATACCAGTACCGGATCGGATTTAAGTAATGTAAATATTTCATTATTAAATATTCTTAGAAATAGAAGATGATGCATTGTCTCCGCTCAAATGCTTAATATAATTTTTTTATTAAATTATAATTTTTAAGGTACCTATAAAAATTGATCATTGAATTTAATTTTAACACATCCATTGCAGTGATCCTTTCAATGATGCCGTAGTACGTACACCCAAAACCTTCTATAGGTAGAGCAAAGCCAGTTCACCGATTTTTTTTGATTTTATTTCAAATTCAATATTTTGGTACCTATTGTGTGAATGCTCATGGTACGCTCCCTATATGCTTCCATCCCTCAAGCCACAACAACCACGTCCTATTATATTTTTTTACAAGTAATTTGCTTATTGAATAAAGATTATTAATATTCAATCTTAATAAATATTATATGTAAATATGTATATTGTATATTATTATAGATCAGCTACATCCGATTTCCGATTGAAATTATTACATGAAACATAGGTATTACATAAAAACTCAAAGTATTTTGGTAAAACTGATATGAAAACAACTGAACATAATTAATAATTAATGAGTATTCTATAGCTTAGTTAACAATTAATATATTATTTTAATTAAAGTACATAGAACAATGCATTTTACAAGTTATACATATATAATAATATATAACCAAACAATGAAGTTGACAGCTATATAATTTAATAATCATTATAAATTATAATGCTCTCGTGATCATATATTTTAATAAATGATGTAACTCAAACCGTAGACAATGAGTATAAATTGAAAGTGCCAAACATTTATGGAACTTTTTTCAATACCTATAAATAGCTCATAAATCATAATAGTATATTTATAGAAAAATAGATTTTATATTTTCAATTTAATTATAGAACAAGGAGAAACAAATGTCGTATAAAACTATAAACCGATCGTGCAATGAGTAATAATCAATCGTGTATAAATAAATTATTTAAGTAATTTAGTAATAGCTCGCAAGGCGTTATAATATGTACACCTAATGTATTAATAAATACAAGTCCAAAAAGTAACATTGGTAATTGGATACGTACCTAAGTGTTAGTTCAAACATAAAATTTCAATAAAAAAATCCATACCATTGTCGAATACGTCACGCAAAGGCTTGGCGTATGTAACAGATATATTTGCAATACAATACATTTTGGTTTAGTAAATAATGATTTCAAAACAATATTTTTTATCAGTGGCTATGGGAATAAACTACCTTCGAGGATAAGCTACTCATTTATAATACAGTCGAGTCTCGGTAACTCAAACCTCGATAACTCGAATTTTTTTCTACTCTTCTAATAATCTATAAATTACTACTTTTCCTCATTAAATGTATCTTCTTTATGACAAATTTGTATTGCATTTCTAGAAGCTAAAATTACATTTTTTATTCTAATTACTTAGTAGGTATATTTGTATATGTATATTGTATATATGTATTATAAATTATTTATATTATGATAATAATTAAATATATGAAGTACCAAGTACCCATGTCCTAAACATGTTTTTGAGTGTCATAAGATTTTTAATTAATATTTTTATTAAATACATGATAAATGTATTCTTTTACAATCAATATTAATAAAATATTCTCCAATACAAAATAAGCGAAAATGTGTGGAGTCTTTAAAAATCATAAATTAAAGTTCAACATTTTATCAAACTTACAGATATAAACTTAATGAATAAATATAAATTGGGTACATAATTTACAAAAAAATAACTAGAAAAATAATATGCATTAATATATATACAGTGGCGTAATTTGTTCATGTTTGTGAGGGGATTGAAACATTTTCTCCCCCTCCCACCAATATGAAAATAAAATGTTGGTTTATATTATAAGCACCACTTAGTACCTATAACCATTGTGATCTGTATAATGTAAGTACATATATAAATGCATCATAAATAAATAATAATTTTACATACCTACCTACTATTTAGATTCTTGTAATAATCTGCACAAGAGTAAAATAGGTACCTACCTACTCAAAATAACTTCATAAGGATATAAATTTGAAACTAGTCAATTGAAACTAAGTCTAACCGACGAATTCTGATTACATAATTATTCTTTCCGAAAAAAAAAATTACAAAAATAGCTTGGAACATAACTGCAATGACGTATTTTAATATATTATTATTTGTGCATAGTGTTTATTGCAAAATAATATTATCTTAGTTATGTATAGCTAGTATAGGCAGAGGCGGAACTAAGAATTTTTACGCCCGGGGAAAATATTAAAATTAAGCCCAATCATAGACCAAGATTGAAAATACAATATCATTCCCTACAATTGTTTTATCATAACTGGAACTAAAATTACAAACATACTTATTAACTTTTAAACACATAATAATATATAATAATTAATAAATTCTGCGGACTGTGGTGTAACCAAGTTTATACTAATAAACTATCACACCAAAAGCACTTTAAATTTAAAAACTTAGTCAACATATTGTTGATACATTTTTAATTACAGGAAATACTGTATTGGTTACTTAATTGTATTTATTATTAGAAATAATAATAATATTAGTTATACATATATAAATGTTGAAAAATATTCAAAACTTTAATTACCTACCTATCCTGTATAAAAATTGTAAACACTTTTGCTGTTTTGGTTCTATGCGCCTCAGGCCTCAGCCTTCAATTATAATAGATTTTTATGGTAAAATATAAAATCTTTTATTCTGATTAGGGTACACAATTTAGGCCAGTAAAAAATTGTATTTAATTAAACAATTTATAATAGAAAAAATGAAAAAGTAAATATTTAAAATCAAATCTTTTTTTTTAAACATAAACAAATGTATATCTATCTTGGTAAATATTATAATACATAATATTATAAACTATAATATATTAACATCATTTTTAATATACAGATATAATATGCGTATCGTACGTTGATTGATAATCTTATAACAGTTATTGTGTAGGTATCAGCAATTTTAACGAAAACACAGCATCAATAAATGCCTAGGTATA